CAGATTTCTACTGGAAAGTTGTCAACGCCTAGCACCAGTAAAATTAACGGAACTGCACTACCTAACATGGTGCCTTCGATTTTTGGTTTGATTATTAGCGGATCTCGTTCTAAACTACTATTACTCTCTTATCCCTAATTCATAATGTTAATATATCAATTGTCACGCATAAAATACATGCAGATGCTAGAAATTTTTGGGATTTAGAAACCATTGTCATTAAATCGTCTCAAGATGGAGAAATGTCCACTTTGGTACAGAAATTTTGAAAAGTGTCCACAATTCTTACAAAGTCACAGAGGGTCGTCGAATTGTGAAGTTGCCAATGAAACAAGATGTCACCCCATCTTCCGATAATTATGATCTGGCCCTGAAACATTTGCATATCTTGAGCAAAAAACTGTCTGTTAATCCAAATTTAGATCATATTTATATGGAATGCGTGCAAGTTTATATTGATGAGAATCAAGTCGAATTAGTCTGTAATACTAATGATTCTGAGTCTTACTATCTTTCACATCATGCAGCTCGGAAGCAAAAAAAATGGAGAAACAAAATGGAAGTTTCCGAAGAAGCCTTGACTCCAGATCATTTCATTTAACTGGTCAGAAACTGACAACACTGCCATCGGAACCTGAATCCGAAAATACAAAACTTACACGAAATTACAGGATGCAGCAAGCTTTGTTGGATGAATTTTGGAAGAGATGGCCTAAAGAATATCTTTTAGAACTGTGCAGTTATCATTAAGTACGCAATATCGACAAATTAGTTCACAGTAATTAAGACACAATAACACGCCGCATAAATACTAATTCAGAAGTCAAACAACAAAAATCAGCGTTAATTTACAAAATTTTCACAGGACTAGTTTCGATGGTTTTACCGAACCATCATCTTCAGCTGCAAAACCGCAAATGAATTCATTTGCGGTTTGTAATTTGTAAATTAACGCTGATTTTTGTTGTTTGACTTCTGAATTAGTTCACAGTAGTAAAGGAGATCTGGTACTTTTGCGGAAGGACTTTAAGGCCTCGGCATATGTGAAAAGGACCCTTATTGCAATGGTAATCGAAGGCTGCGAGGGAAAATGCAGATCATGCATATAGCACATTGATTGCAAAGAAGTGACTGAGCTGGATAGGATGTTATGCCCTCTCGATAGACAGTCACGTGACGTGAGTCACGATTTTCTTACGCACTGAGATTGATTTAAATTTTGAATATGGCTACACAAAATCATAAGAACGAAATTTTTATGTTTAGTTCAATTGCATGTATAATAACGAAAATAAAATGTGTATATAAACACATTAGATCTGGAGAAAACTTTTCTTATGTAGAGATTGCGGAGAAAATAGAAAATATTTTAAATTTTTGTTGTTTTCAGAAGGGGTAGGGGATTCAACCCAAACTGTTCATTTAAATCGTGTCCCACTTGGTTTAACAATTTGCACATTTTTCCTTGCTTGTAATTTGAAATTTCATATTATTAAGAATTTTAAAGAATAGCATCCGAAATGTTATGACATGTTAAATTCAGTTCTTTATGTGAACAATCTGCGTTATGGATTCAATACCGTTCAGGTTTCCTGAAACTGTATTAAATACGGAATAAAAAAGGATATAAGGATAATACTGATTTCGGGCAAGGGACAGGATTTTTTTGGAATTGAGGTGGAATCCGACTAAGGATAAAATTAAATTAGATTTAAGAGATGTTAGGGGTTTAATTGAGGCCAGAATCACCAAGCGACATGTTCTAAGAGTTATTTCAAAGATATGTGATCCTTGTGGACTGAGTAGTCCTTCTTTAATTACAGTGAAAATTCTCATACAGGAGATGTGGGAACTAGGTCTGAAATGGGACGAAGATTTTTCAAGTGATTTGCAAAATAAATGAAGAACTTGGTGTTCTGAACTTTGCGAACTTGAATCACTATCTATTAAAAGAAAACCTTTTGAAAGTGCAGAAATAAATGAAGTTTCTCGTCATGCGTTTTGTGACACCAGTCCCAAAGCGTATGGAGCTGCTGAGTTCCTCAGGTACGTGAATTGCAATGGCCAAATTAAAGTGAGCTTTATCATGTGAAAATGTAAGGTTGCTCCTTCAAAAACTTTGAATCTTACAAGATTAGAGTTAATGGCACCACTTCTCGCTACACGAGTAGGAAATTATTTACAAGGTCTTTCCTGATTTCGCGAAACAAATTTTCTTATGGGGTGACTCTCAAATTGTCCTTCGATGGTTGAAAGGATCATCTAAACAATGGAAACCATTTGATACCAACAGACTGGCTCAAGGGCAATCGCTGACTTTACCAGAATGTTGGAACCATTGCATAGGCTTTGACAATCTTGCGTACCTTACTACCAGAGAAGAATCGGCTAGTAGGATCCTGAGAAGTTCTCCGTATTGGTCAGGCCCTGCCTGAATATCTAGAACGCTTCACTCGTAGTCTATTTGTTTGAAGGGATGTTTTCTGTTCTCAAGTTTATGTGAGAGTTTATATAGTTTTCTCAAGTTTATAAACTTCTTTGGCTTCTTCCATCTAATTATAAATTTGTTGAACTATTGATCTGTGATTTTTTATACTAAAATATGCTATTCAAGTATTGATGCATCTTTAACGCTTTTACGAGGACAATTCTGGATTGTTAAAGATCGTCAGTTTGTGAAAAAGATACAAATAACTGTCTGATTTGCAAACGGTTCCAGTGAAACCTAGAACGCAGGTGCTTGCAGCTTTACCTCCTGATAGAATTGAAGAGCATCCCTCTTTGATATATGTGGTGCGGACTCCTCCGGACCCTTTTCTATTGTGATTTTCCTCTTGTCACTCCGCAGCTGAATGTAAGTGTTATTTACTTACATTCAGCTGCGGAGTGACAAGAGGTATCCACTTAGAATATTAGATCTAAAAGTAAGTACTGATTCTTATTTTGTTAGGATTTTTTCTCGTTGAAGATTATGTTCCGCTATATATTCTGACAATGCCAAAGATTTCAGAAAAGCCAACTGCGAATTGAGAAAGTGGTGGAATCAGATAATGATCAAGTTAAAAATATGTTTGCTTCTAAAGGTATAGTTTGGAATTTTATAGTTGAAAAAGGCCCATGGTGGGTATGTTTCTGGGAGGAACAGATACGAATCGTTAAACTTGCTTCTAACTGTTGGACGATCATCTCTTCCTCTGAAAGTATTGGAAAGTGAAGCCATGGTTAAATCCAGGCCTAAAGCGTATCTGTACAACGAACCGTCAGAGCCCTTTCTATTCATCCCATCTCATTTTCTCGTTGATAAAAGTTTGGTGTCTTTACTTGTAATCAAACATAAAAATGAAGATTTGAATGTTAACAGAAATTCTTTGGCAAAGAAATGTAAATATCAGCAAACTCTTTTGAATAACTTTTGGAAAAGGTGGAGAAAGCAGTATTCACTTAATCTGAAATCAGCTTATATATATCTCCACAACCAAGTAAAATAGCTTCACTTAAGGTAAATGATAATGCTTTGATTAATGATGAGCGTTATGCCAAAAATATGTAGCAAAATGTTTCGAGCTGTATCCAGTAAGAGACAGAAAAATTCGTTCTTTTCTTATTCAGACTCCTAAAGAAAACATAAAACAATCAATAGGAATTATTTATAATTTGGAAATTATTCCTTAATTATGTTAGTTTAATTTGAAGTGTAAAGCTATTAATTTTCTTTCTATGTATTAATGATAGTTGTGTTGTAACTTATCTCACTTGTTTGACAGTAACATCAGAACAAGCCAAGGAAATTCTTCGCGGCAAGGAGTGTAAGATTGCGCCCGTCGTTTGCAAGACCCTTAATCATCATACAGATGAGTGTACGACTTCGCTCAGTTCTTCCCCAATTTTGATATAGAGTACCCTGGCGGAACGGGTACGACGGTCTCCCAACCCTCTCCCCCCTACCAACAGCCTCTCGAGGGGACTTTCGGCTCGTTGCATATTTAGAGTGCACAGTAACTATGCATTTAAAAATATCCGTGCCTTCTCCGGGATTCGAAACCAGGCCCATCGGAACGGCAATCAGAGTCCCTTTTAAAGCTTGATATTTGAACAATTTTTATTTAGAAGTTGAAAGCATAATTTGTGTTTATATATTAAGTTATGTATTGCGTTATATTGTATTATTTATATATTGTTTATATATTTTTATATTATATATGTTTATATATTTTATATTACGTATGTTTATATATTGTGTTATCTATATATCAAGAGATTGTGAACAATTTCGATGCTTTGTATTTGATCTAATATTCTATTTGTGTTTTTTTCATATAACTTTAAATGGTTCTGAATGTAAATTTTGTTGGAATAAACGATAAGTGTACTCAAGTGAGCTCAGAAGGGGAGCGTTATATAATTCCCGCGCCATTTAGGTAGAGGGCGCTGTGTACGCTTTATTAACCAAGTGGCAGGCATAATGTTAAAGGTGTATGACGCGGAAGGCAGAAATGCCTAATAATACATCCTCAACTATTTGATTTTGTTATATTTTTCTTGTAAATAAATATTATTGTTTTTTCGAAAGCTTCGTTGGTGCACCATTAGACACATTGAACCATCAGATGCAAAACATGAATTGTACAGCTGCGGTAGCGGCGGAGAAGACGATAAGCATATTCTTCTTGAGCGCATTCTGCACGTCCAGAACAAGAAGATACTTTAGGTTACTGGAAGGTACCTGTGTGTATCTTGGCCACCAATTTTTCTGAACTTTTTGGAACTGAAGAGACAGTTTTTGCTTTTTGTAATTTCCTTCTTAGTTTAAATTATTGAATTTTCTTTATTTTATTACCTTTTAAATTTTATTATACTTTTACTTATTTTTTTTTTTTTAATTTATAGCATTGTCTCCATTTGTAGTGTTATTCTACATTTATTTGTTTATTTTTTTAGTGAAATAACTTAGCTGTATAAGCCTCGTGGTGTATGTATAAGCCTGTATAAGCCTTTGTGAAGTTAGAGTTAGCACAAAGAAAAGTTTCAAATATTCCAAAATTCTTTGAATTACAGTTTACTACTGATTAATCGGGTGTGTGCGGGTGAAATAATTAAGTTGCGGACTAACCAGGCTTCTTCTAAAAAGTTAAGTTTGTTTATTCCGGAACGATGGATACTGATACTTGGAGCTGTACAGAACAGTGTACTTCATGATAAACAGTGCGTCACGTAGCTGTACGACCCTTAACAACGGTGCGTACCAAGTATTTTTCTTCACTATGAATGGTGCCTGAGACTGCAGAGATTCCGCACATTTACTGGCCCTCCTAAGCCTATAGATGGTAAATTTGCTATAATGTCATTAGATCTTGACCAATCTAAACAGAAATTGCGTGATACCACAGTCTATAGTTCCTGTAGGCTACCATTCTCTCACGATTTAATTCTAGGACGTGTTGGATGAGATATGCTTTTTTACGTGGGGCGTAACGCGTCATCAAACACAAAGAATCAGTGAATAAACGCCATTTTCCGAATGAAACATCTGCTATTAACTGTATCTTTTTATGCTGCTTTGAGATGTTAATATATTTGTCTGTGTTGTGTGTATGCGTATAGTATAAAGAACATGGCTATCGCTCAGTATGTTCTTGTTTTCCCGCAAATTTAATTTTTGTCGTGAGCTTCCTTCAAAGTGCAGAAATTTTAACGGCCAAAAGTCTAATGTGTGATTTTAAACTTTGTACCATTAATTGTTTTTATAATAGTTTTCGAATATCATAAATTAACAGATCTGAGCCACAGACATCATTACTTAAGCTGTGCGTATTTGGTTTCGCGATTTCTGACGTTAAACGCTATACTTTAATGCACGGATGTGAAATCAACTATAAAACAAAGTTTTCGCTTTAAAAATTCGCTTATTTATTTTATTATATTTGACTGTAAATTTATCTATATAACATCATGACAATTTTAGAAAACACATAATGATCTTTCTTGATAATTCTTCTTTAAATAGGGTGTTCATGAGAAAGGATTATCAGTGTTGTTCACACTTATATTTCTCGTTATATTCTGTAATCAAGTCTTGTGTGCAATCCTGGTTGGAAGGAAAAAAACAGAACATCAGTTTCATTTTAGTTATGAGTCATAGTTTGGATTCAAGATGGATGAGTCCTTATAATTAAAATAGCTTCAAAAGTTTAGAAAATTGAATTAATTACATGCTCTTTGAATGATACACAATGAATGAAATGTTTTAAAGTTAAATAAAAAATTAGTTTCTCACGCAACACATGACTTCATGAGTATTACCAGCTTAAAATATTTACCTTTTATTTTCGATTTTATTAGATTCAAGTTGGAAACGTTACGTATGACAGTTCTCGAAGCACAGCGTGAACACTCAGTTACACATCAGAAATTAACAGCTAAAAGAGTTCCTTATCAAAAGATTTAATTCACCTCTGTTCCAAGTAGCGGTAATTAGAAATATTTTTTTCTTACACAGAAGAGAAATTAAAATCTGTTGTGAAAGAGACTTTCGGCTCTAGAGTGCCAATACAAAAAACGTATGACGTAGTTCGGTTTTCACTTTGTAATTTATGTGATTCGGACAAGAAAATAACGATTGAAGCACTTTTGACTGATTGTATTTCTGAATCGCAGTTTAAAGTATCACATAACAAATTAATGCAAATACTTTCGAGGAAGAACATTCAGTTGTCAAACATAAGTAAATCGTCAGGAAATGAACTGTCTCTCCTTATTGGAGCACAGTATTTTTGGGATACTCATACGGGAGAAAAACAGCGATTAAATAAATCTTTGTATTTGATTGATACTCTCTTTGGACGGGTTGTTCAAGGTCGAAACCCTCCATCAGATTTAAATGCGAATCAGGATATTTCTATCATGAAAATTGAATGTTGCGCCGCATTAAATGAAAAACTAACGCAGTTTTGGCAGTTAGATTCAATGGGGATAAATGATACTCACAGTGGAGATTTTAAATTTAAAAAAGAAGTTATTTCTCAATTCGAAAGTAATTTACAATATGAAAATGGAATGTATACAACTAAATTATTCTGGGACGGTAAACCAGAAAACTTGTCTAACAATTTCGCGGTAGCAAAACGAAGATTTCGTAACTTAAGTGTGAAAATGAAAGAAAATGATTGATTTTATAATGAATATAAGAATATAGTTAAGGAGCAATTAAAACTGAATATCGTTGAAAAATGTCCTTTCGGCTTACAAGAGAATTCTTATTATATGCCTCATTCAGCTGTAGTAAGATCGGATAGGGATACTACGAAAGTCAGATTGGTTTTCGATGCATCGTCAAAAGGTAATTGGTGCAAATCTCTTTATGAATGCTTAAATCCTGGGCCACCGTTGAATCCCAGAATTTTGGATGTAATCTTGCGATTTCGCGAATATGAATATGCATTTAGCTGTGATATTCAGGGAGCATTTTTGACCATAGGAATAGTGGAAGAGGATAGAGACTATTTACGTTTTTTCTGGTTTCCAGATGAAAGTGATTCAAAAGCTTACAAAATTTTACGAATGACTCGCGTTCGCTTTGGAGTGACATCAAGCCCATTTATCCTTGCTGCGACTATTAAATACCACATTAGAAAATATAAACTTGAACAAAGCGAAACTTGTGAAATGCTTGACTCGGCACTTTATATAGATGATCTTTTTTACGGAGCAAATACAATAGAGAAAACTTTAGAACTTTCACAGAGCGCTGTAAAAATTCTTAAAGATGCGAACATGAATTTAAGAAAATTTATTACTAATTCGGATGAGTTGGAAAATTTATGGAGTGAACGAGGTTTGTCTGATGTGACAGAAACCAAAGAACGTCCTTTGAAGGTTTTAGGCATAATATGGAACACCGAAGAAGATACTTTTAAGTTAGATGTAAAACCGCTACTGGACATGACCTGTGATAGGAAGAATTCAAAACGTAGTGTACTTCAGACAGCTTTGTTATTTGATCCAATGGGAATTGCATCACCTTTTATTGTTCTCATAAAATTATTAATGCAAGAAATATGGGAACTTGGTTTAGGATGGGATGATGAGCTATCAACTGACTTGAAGAAAAAATGGGATAATTGGTGCTCTCAGATTTATCTGTTGAAAGATTTGACAATCGAAAGAAAATATTTCTCCATACCATGGAAGTTGGTGAAAGAATTAGAACTACACATATTTTCTGACGCTTCTCCTAAAGCTTTCGGAGCAGTTGCGTACTTCCGTTACGTGTCAAGTGATGATTGTATTTATACAAGTTTTATCACTGCGAAATCTAGAATCGCATCGCTTAAAAGGTTGACATTACCGAGGCTTGAACTTATGAGAGCTGTTATTTCTTTTAGACTTTTCCAATATTTGAAAACAAATTTTAAATTTCCTGTGCCTAGGGTATATATGTGGACAGATTCCTTAATCGCTCTTCATTGGATTAAAGGGAAAGCTTCAAAATGGAAACCTTTTGTATCGAACCGTGTATCCGAAATCCAGTCTAGAACTGATCCTGCTAATTGGAATCACTGTAGTGGGCAGGATAATCCTGCAGATTTCATATCTCGAGGAGCTACCAGAAGTTTAATGGCTTCGGTTTGAAGAAGAAAAGGGATTGGCCAAAAGGCTCTAATTATGAAATTTGTCTAGAGATTTCTCCAGAAGTATATTGCGAAAAAAAGAAGTAAACTGGAAGAAGTATCGTCTTTTGTGTGCGAAGTGCAATCGAATTTGACACATTTAATAGATTTGAATAGATATAGTAGTTTAAGAAAATTATACCCTGTTACAAGTTAAATACAACGATTTATATACAACCTTAAATTTAAAACTAAACGATGTGGTGAACTAAGCACTGGAGAACTTAACGAGGCTGAAATTATCTGGACAAAAACTGTTCAAAGTGAAGCTTTTGCGGAAGAGTTGTCCTCTTTGAGACAGGGTAAAACGATTTCTAAAACTTCCTCTATTCTAGAACCGAATCCCTTTCTTAATACTGACGGGATAATGCATGTTGGTGGAAGACTTCAGAAGTCAAGACTTTCTTACCTTCAAAGACACCCAATTATTATGCCCTCAAAACATCACTTTGTGAATTTATTAGTGTGGGATGCACACAGCAAAGTGTTTTACGGTGGAATTTCTGAAACTTTGATAGAAATACGCGAAAGATTATGGATAATTAAAGGAAGACAAACTGTTAAAATTATCTTAAGAAAATGTGTTCTGTGTAATCGATTTAATTCTTCTCCTTTACCGTTACTGCTCCTTTACCAGTAAATAGAACAGAAGAATTACCTCCTTTTTCTGTAGTAGGTATAGATTTCGGTGGACCACTTTATACCAAAGACAGTGATGAGAAAAACTACATCGTGTTGTTTACTTGTGGAGTAACACGAGCTCTTCATTTAGAGTTTGTTGGTAGCATGACCACAGAAACATTTCTTCTTGCTTTTCGACGATTCATTGCTCGTCGAGGTCTATGTTCTCAAGTTTTGACGGACAATGCCAAAACTTTAAACGATCAGAACTTGAACTTAAAAATTTGTAGACTGTCATTAATCATCCAACAGTAAAAGACTTTTACGACTCCTACAAAATCCAATGGTGCTACATCGCTGAGAAAGCTGCGTGGTGGGTTGGCTTCTATGAAAGACTAATTAAATCTGTAAAACTTGCTTTACGAAAAACTCTAAGAAAAACCACTTTATCTCGAGAAGAGTTAGAAACTCTAATTATTGAAATTGAAGGTGTTCTTAACTCTCGTCCTTTAACTTATGTTTATTCTGAATTACAAGAACCTATGCCTCTAACTCCAGCTCATATGCTATTGGGGCGCAGGGTGAATAGTTTGCCTCCTGCCAGGCTTCATTTTGATTCTAATTTAGTTAATAGGAAAATGCTAATTAAAAGATTTAATTATCGAGAAAGTTTGGTAAGTATGTTTTGGAATAAATGGAAAAATGAATACTTATTAATGCTGAGATCTGTTCATTGTGTTAAACCTTCAGGAAAAATTACTGAATTTAAAGTTAATGATATTTTATTAATTCATGATGAAAAGCTACCTAGACACTTTTGGAAATTAAGAAGAGTTGTAACAGTATTTCCTGGCAGAGATGGAAAAGTAAGGTCTTGTGAAATTAAAACAGGTACATCAGTTATTAAAAGACCTGTGCAGCTTTTATATAATCTTGAAATAAATAAATAAATTTAATTGTTCATTATATGTTTATTAATCTGTATTATTGTAACAGGACTATTCCATATATGTGATGAAAGTTTAATGTATGTACAGGTATTGAGTTGCCAGCTTATTATCTTTATTATACTTTATTGCAGGTCACTTTACAAATTGTTTAAAGATGAATGATTTGTTTATATAGTAAATAAGTGTAGTTTCTTTAATATGTGAATTGATTGAACTTTACATTGTAAGAGTTTCTTTTGTTAAATTTGTATTAATGTAAGTGTTTGAATGAACCCCTGGTCATTCGGGGGGCAGTCTGTAGAAACTCTATTGCACCAGATGGCGCTGTGTGCGCTTGAATTCTTCGGACTAGTGCATAATAATAAAATAATATATCGACGAAGAAAAAAATGAAATGTTTACTGCTAAGTAATTAACGATAATTTATTCAGTGTTGTTAGATTACTCACAGCGAGCTGACACACACACTACTTAAATTACAAATGAGTGTGAGTAGCTTGCGTTCAGCTACCTTCGGCTTTTGGGGGACACGTGCACTCAGAACTTGTACGCATCCCCCGATAGCTGAATGTGGCCGAACTCATGGTCTCAGTTTTCCAATCATAGTTTTGCACGATATATTGGTGCATGCATGTGCATGCACTTTGCTTTATTATTAATTATTACTTAATTCATATTGTTACGGATTTCATAGTTGTTTATTTAGTTAGTTTTTTTTTATTTAGAATTGTAATTAGATTTGCTTCATGTTGCCTTAGCAACGCAGACGATTTTTGAAAAGACAGCTGCGTTGGAAGGTTAAAAATAGAATAGCGCGTGCATTTAATACCTAATAAATAAATATCTCGTAATTGCTGTTGCCATCCACAAAAATCCAGATATTTATAGATGTTTCCAGTATATTCAAGAAATTAATTATAAAGCTTATAAAAGCCGAGAACAAACAACTCATCTCAGTAGTAGCTGTAGTTCTAGCGAACTGTTTGTTTACTTAATGTTGTGATTGATTTGTAGCGATTTCGCTGTGAGATAGAATTAGTTTCTGTGTTTTGAATTGATTTTTGCTAAATGTTTGGCATTTTGTGATATTGTTAGAATATTTTTGAAGAAATATTTCAGCATTTTGATTTATCTCTTGTGGAAAGAATAAATTTTTGTTAACTTTTTAACGTTAACCGTGTTTATTCCAGCCATTTGTATTCAGTATGTCTATATCAAAACCAAGTGGTAGTAAAATTAAACGAAAAATCGCTGACGAACATAGAATATTCCAAGTAAAATGGGAACTAGAATATATTTGCTGTGAAATAAAAGGTAAAATAATGTGCTTGATATGTAATAATACTATTAATGTACCAAAGTTATATAATATTAAACGTCATTACGAAAACACAAATCGAAATATAACAATTACGAAGGATTAATGAGAGAAGAAAAGTTGAAAGAGCTCAAGTTAGGAGTGAAAAAGCAACAGTCCATGTTTAGTAAAGTATTGCAAGAATGTGAAGCGGCATTACATGCAAGCTACGTCTTGTCCGAGTTGATAGCTAAACATTCGAAGCCTTTTACTGACGGTGATTTCATCAAGGAATGCCTAATGAAAGCTGGAGAAATTGTTTGTCCTGGAAATGTGAAGGCTTTTCAATCAATTTCATTGTCTCGAAATACAGTTACGGAAAGAGTTACTGATTTAGCCGCGAATTTAAGTGATCAGATCAAAGCAAAATCATCTAGTTTCGAAAGTTTCTCCATTGCCTGTGACGAGAGCACGGACATTAGTGGCAAAGCTCAATTAGCAGTGTTTCTTCGTTCTTGTGACAAGAATTTTAACATTTTTGAGGAAGTACTGGAACTAATACCGATGCCTGGCACTACCACAGGAGAAGATATATTTACTTGTGTTTTTGGACTTCTGCAGAAATACAATCTACCTTTGGCAAAATAAAATTCTGTAGCTACAGATGGCGCTCCATCAATGACCGGGAAAAATAAGGGCTTCGTACCATTACTAAGAAAAAATCTTAGTGAAATTCACGGTTTAAACAGTCATAATATGCAATGTATTATACATCAAGAAGTTCTATGCACGAAAGTAATAAATATGGAGAATTTTTTGTCATATATAAAAAAAGTTATAAATTTTATAAGATCTCGAGGTTTAAATCAGCGTGAATTCACTGCTTTCTTAAGTGAGTTAGATAGTGAATATTCGGTTTTGTCCTACTATACCGAGGTACGTTGTTATCTTGCTCCAAGATTCTCAAACAATTCTGGGATTTGGAAGAAGAAATATGTCAGTTTTTAAAATCGAAAAATCAAGACGTAAGTTTGTTTTACGATCCAATATGGATACAAGATTTATCTTTCTTGGTTGATATAACCAAACACTTAACCGATTTAAATTTATCGTTACAAGGAAAAGATCATATCATTACGAACATGTTTGACATAATTAAAGCATTCAAATGTCAACTATTTCTTTGGGAAAATCAACTTAAAAATGAAGATTTGACGCACTTCCCGACGTGCAGCATGAACAAATCAAGTTTAGATGATACTTGTTCGTATCAAAAATACGCAGAAAAAGTTGCAAATTTAACAACTGAATTTGAAACGAGGTTTAATAATTTTAGTTCCCTCGAAGAACATTTTTTGTTTTGTTTTCTTCGATTTTCTCAATAAGAGTCAGTACCCAGCCATATGCAAATGGAGGTGATCGAGATTCAATGCAACTCAAATTTGAAAGCAAGATTCATTGAAGTGGGCGTGCCTGAATTTTACAAATATTTACCAGCCAGGTTTGAAAATACTCGAAAATTCGCATATGAAATTATTTCCATGTTTGGTAGCACTTATCGGTGCGAGCAGTTATTTTCAGTCATGAAAGGTAATAAGTCTCCTATTAGAAACCGTATTAATATGATCACCTTGGGTCAGCGTTGAAAGTTATCACTGCAAACAAAATTTCTCCCGAAATAGGAAAAATAATAGCAGAGAAGAGATGTCAAGTATCAGGACGTAAACATTAAATTTTTCTTGTTCTTTTCTATATAAATATATATATATATATATGTTTATTATTGTATTATTCGAAATAAATCTACGTTTCTATGAATATTTTTTTTTTTTTTTTTTTTTTTTTTTTTTTGCAGCCCGCCTAAAGTAAAACCTTGTTTGTTTGGCCCAAGTGTACCTATGAGTTTGACATCCATGCCCTAAATAAAAGAAAGATGTTTATGTCTTTATGTGTCCTTCCAAGGAGCTGGTCTAGGAAATAAAAATTTCTTAAAGAGTGAATAGATTTAATTTGAAAGTTTGCAAACTTTTAAATAAAAGACGAATCAATTCACAACTGAAGTTTTATGCTTTTGATCTTTATTATAATTGCTACTTTCCGTTAGCTCTCACCAGTAAGCAAATGAGTTTAAAATGCTTTTAAAAATGAGAATTTTGGATGTTTAGGAGATAGAGCTTCTGGTAGCGGCATTTGTAGCTTCAAAACCTTCTACCACCCAGCTCTGACAATTATTATTCTGCATTAGCAATTTGCTAAGTGACATTAAATCGTGCCATTAAAATTGAACCATCTTAGTGCCAGCAAGTACCGGTTTTGTTTATACCCACAAGAGGTACCTTCTATTTAAATTCAAATTTAATAAAAATGTTTATTAAAAAACATCACTGAATTTTATTATATCATATTTCGCTTTTCAATATTATAAGATCTGATGGACTTGGAATTAATTTTATACAAGTATAACTCTATGACGTTGATATAGAAATCAGAATACATTGGGTCAACGGCTTCAATAGACGAGTTGCGATGGTTTTTCCCTATATTTATTCCCTAGATTAACTTTCTTGTTTAATAAAATCATTATAATCAATGCCAGACTGGTAGGAGTATTAAAAACGCTCTAGGAACTTACCACTACTTGACTCCAAGCATGACAAAAAGTTTGCTGGAATGGATTGGAGCAGTATTTCTAAATAAAAAGGAACAATAAAGAAATTAAAAGGGAATAAAACAGGGAAACGCTCTGCTGTCGAAAACTTGTCGACGTGGTTTCTTAAAGAAAAGTACTTTCATTTCAGCTTGTTAGAAATAAATAGACACAGAAATAAAAGCTCTAAAAAGGCATCAACCATTTCTTATCGCTTTCTGTTACAAGAGGATAGGCAATAACAGTCGAAGGCCAGAACTACGTTAAGAAAACTTTTACGTTGCTAGCGCTATTTTGTTTTGAAAATCGCTGACAACATTTTGGTCGCTTTTCACAAAATGTGTTAATTCATTGCCAGAAGTCGATGAAATATTTTATTACATTTATTTCCAAATCCAGTTATGTTTGCTCACCTCTTACGTCCATACCAATGTCCAGTTCCTTAACTTTCAAAATAATGCAATTTTTTCATTATTTTAAAGACATTTAGACAGATTTATTTTAAATTTAGCATTTAGACAGATTTAGATTTATTTTAAAGACATGTGTTTTAGCTGCAACTATGTTGGGCGTTTATTGTAAAATTTATTTGCAGAGTAACTAAAACCAATTCGGCGTTTGTCTGGCTTGAGCAAAGTTCGAATCAAAAGAGTCTTAATTCTACTGCAATGTTTGTACAATGAAGTACCTTTCTTGAGAAAAAAAAGGGATAAATACAAAAATACTAGACACTTCTGATATTCTTTTGGTGATGACATTAAAAAATATCTCAATAGAGAATGAAACAATTTAACTATATTAAAATTTACGTATTTTTAAATTTCATACTTACCGACATTAGATCAATAAAACGCTGTGTAAAGAGTTGGAAATATCTGTCCTGAAAAAACAAAGTACAACCTTTATTAAATAAAAGTAAAATTCGAGGTTTTCCGTAATTACAAATTTAATACACATTCATATATCGAATTTTCTTTATTTTATAGACTTTTATTTAGTGGTCAAAGTTACACCAAGATAGAAAAGTCTTAGAAACATCTAACGACATTTTATAAACGTTAAAAAAATTGTTGCTTTAGATTTTCCCCAAATCAGCCTGTCGAAGTAAATTTAAAAAAAAAAAAAATCAAACCATCGATTTGCAGTCTAATTAGCAAATTTATTGAAATAAATTTTGATAACAAAAACTTTAAATAGCTGCAACGAATTCTGGTCTAATAATCGTAGTTTATATAGTAGATTAAAAATTTTTGTTTTGTGAAAGTGGTCGGCTTTTTTTTTGTCTTGCTTGGAGAAACACTAATTGATGTTTATAACAAATTGATGTTTTAAACTAGTATGTACATGAGAATTCCATAGTTCAGTTTACGAGGTTGCATAGCTTTTGAGTTTTGCTGGCCCATGTGTCTTGTTTATTTTAATTAGCACCTTATGTTTTGCGGCGGTTTTTTCATGCACCTCTACTCTATGGTATACATCAGGATTTCTTAAACGTTTTGGTGTGGGGACCCAATAATATTTACGAAAATTTTGTGGGACCCCATAAGCATTGCGCAAATCCGACACACGCGTCAGTCACACGTTCACTTGTACTGTAACAAAGGTAGGTTTTAGGTCATTAACTTTAAAAATTAATGCAAAATTAACGTTTCTATTACAAAAAAAATGCGCTTTTCGAAACGCTTTCGTTTTTCCTTTGTCTGCAATATCTTATCTTTATTTATTTTAAGATACATTATGTAAAAATATTTGGTAATTTTAAAATTATTATAAGTTAAAGAAATGTCAAAATTGCTAACATTTTTGGCGACCTAGTACTGCAGGTACCGCAACCCCAAATGGAGTCACGACCCACAGTTTAAGAAACTCTGGTCTACATCATCAGAAAATGTAAATGGAGTGAATTTTAAATAAAGAAAGAGATCTTTCATTTCTTTTTATGTCATTGTAATTATTTAGCGTCCTATGCCTGAGAGAAATAACGCTAAATATTCGGACGATATTTCGTCAGGCTGTCTAAAACGGGTTAACTTAGTTTTTAAAAAGTCAAAAGTTCAGTCTCGTAACTCATCATAATGCTCAATAATAGCTGAACTTATCCAATGAGATTGGCTAAATTTAACATTCGATGAAACTTCATATTATCTTCTTAAATTCAAACCGAATTACGTTACGAAATTTAAAGACGAACGATAAGAACTTTCTACTTGTAATTCTTGTAATTCACTTTCTACTTGTAATTCAAAGTGATGCTGATCTCCATCTGAACTTGTGAAGGGTGTCAGTGTCAAAAGCAGTGGATACTAAAAATCTTATTTACGAAATAGAAGAATTGTAAATAAGTAGTACTTGTATATAGTAGTAGTAATTACACCATTATGCAGAACCTACGGTAAGCAGCATTATTTTTTAGATATTTTGGAAATGGAGATTAAAGATTAACACACACTGAAATACACTAGCTCCTAAAGGTTAAGTATGCGACAGTAAAACCAATAAAAATGTTGAAGAAAAGCTTTGATTGATATCAGATTGCATACGAAAGTAGCAAAAGCGTTTACGCAAAAAAGAAAATTTAGTTTATGTACAATGCGAAAAAAAAAGACAGTTCGATATCTCCCCTTCTACTGGGTCGATTGACAAAATTCAAATTGCGTTCTTCATGTCTCGAAAGCGCGACTTAGGATATATATTAGATTTAAATATAGCTCTATTCTAATATAGCTATTTTGATACGAAATCGGACGTTTTCTGAAATAACATACCTTTTTTTTTCCATATTTCGATTCTACGACTCTAATTATGCACAAATATGAAATTTTGTAAAATTTGGCGCGGAATTTATGGAGAAATTCAAAAATTTATGTGGGGCTTTTTTTCAGTTTGCGCCAAGAATAGTTCACTTAGCGAACTTCTTAATACATGGCAACCTATTTTCCTTTCCCATGAGAGGAAAAAATCGCAACGTTCTTTCATTCAAATAATGTTCTCTATATTATATTTTATGATATTATTTTAAATATTTTTTATTCTTTTTTGAATTTCATTTAAATTTTTTAAGTTGCATGGTTTTTTTTCGAATAACTGTTTTAAAAATTTCTATTTACCCATTCGAACTGCGTATTTTAAATATAAGGAGCATCGTTTATTTTTTTTCAAACAATTTCTTTTTGTCACAGTTATATTTTTAGGTAATTTTAAACTTTTAGACTTTTATTTTAAATTTTTGTGTTGCATTGTCTCTTCAATTTACTATTTTTCATTCGAATGAGCGTATTAAATATATTTATTAATATAAATTTTCCAGGATTTTATTTTGGTTATTTGAATTGCGTTTCTTTCGGAAGAATACTTTGTGTCCCACACTGCGATGCATCTGGAAACTGAAATATTAAAAGAATAAATACAGTAAAGCACAGTTAACACACGCCTTTCAATGTTCCTTTCAGAAAAGCCATATAAATGAGAAAGATGTATAACCGACATTTTAACTTGTGATGATTTGCATATATTGCTTTAAAAGCTTTAACATTGTGCTCATTGCTTTACACAATTTTATCATCCTACATTTAGTTTCTTAAAATTTTATTCATATTTTAGTCAAATATTTTATTTTCGAAATCGGAAGAATCAAATATCATGAGATTAAAAAGTTTTAAATTAAAAAAAAATACTAAATTTTATGCAAAAAAATTATTTTTTTCTTATTAATGGCTTCCTCTTTTTCTTCAGCCATTCTCTAAGTATATTAAAAAGCATCCAACTTTTCAAGGTCATCTAGGTATTTCTGAAATTCATTTTAAATAAACTTATCGCCTTCCATTTTATAAAGGCCCACAAACGGCCGAGCAGTAAAGTCGCTGAACACTGATAGTTCGCTCCGGGGGTTCGGATCCCGGCAATTGTTACATGGGCGTTTTCACGTTTTTCTCATTGTAACGTGCATGCCAGCTGATTTTCCTTAGAAAGTTCTTCATGAAGCTATCCCTCCTTTTAGGGCAGATAGCCCTGCTTTGCCGTAACTTAATCATCCAATTCAATCCATTTCATTAGTATTTGGTCAGAGCCTTTATTATTCTTTAGATGTCTAAGCATTTTGAAAGCATGAGATGAAAGGAAAGACTGATTTCATCAAGAGGGAAAACGTCTATTAAGTGACATTCACAATACATCAGTGGATAAATTCCTGAATATTCAAATAATTCGACTAAGAAATCACGGGATTCTCCGTTTATGATGGTATGATGTTCTATAACGTAATTTAAATTTATGCAAACATATAGTCGAAAACCAGTCACTCTTCACTTTAATCTGCAATGATATCGTTTTTGGCTTTTCCGTTAGCACAAGCTCAATTGATGGTATTTGCTGGTGTGCACATCCAAGTGTTTTCTCTTTGAACACCCAAATGCCTTGAAGTATTCTGAAAGTATATTCAAGAGCATCCAACTTTTCGAAACACCTTGGTATTTCTGACAGGCAAATTCCCCTTTAAATTTTTGCTTACTTTACTCGCTAATTTTCTTCTTCCCCTTCTACATTTTTTTCAGTGCTCACCACAAAAAAGAAAATTAAGATTTGTGTACACTTCCATAACTTTTGCAATCTTGTCATTTTTTTTAAATATCGATTACATAACTGCGTTTTCAGTTGAAGACAGCTTTTCATTTTCTAGGCATTTTAACTATAAATAAAGTTTTAAAGCACAGACCAAAGGATAAAATATTTTAATTAAAGAATTTTTCTTAAATGACAAAGAAAGAAAACAGTCCAGCAATGTTTGTGCTGTAGCGCTGAGTAACCCGATTATTATATCGGCTACAAACAATCTAAATCATATTAAAGATTATGTTTTTTATACAATCTATAACACGAGAGAAAATTAGCTATTTAAAACATTCTTTCGAAGAATATTAATGTAAAAATTTATACTTATATATATAAGGCTGGGACATGACTCAAACTATCAACGTCCTGTTTGCTTAAAAACATTGTGAAAATAAACATCAAACGAACTTTCTCAGTTCTAGACAATTCAATTTAAATGCAATCAAAGTAAAGTAGCAGACGATAACACGGCGAAAACATTTACTCTTACAAATATCTTAAAATAGAAAAAAAAAAAAAAAAAAAAAAAAGGAAGAAGAAAGAAATTTAAAAAAAGTTAATTTGAATATTATCATCTATATTTTTTAAAAAAAAAAAACTTTTCATATAGTATTAATAAATACTTATTACGCATCATTGAGGGTAAAGTTCCATATAATTATTTCTCCATAAAAATTTATTTGAAATTTAAGGTTAAAAATAGCTATGGCAATTCATTGTAACAAAAGTCCATGAACAATAAATTTGGCGTTATTATGGCTCAAAAAAAGATGCGAAATTTCGAAAACGCGAAAAATATGTAAATTCGTGTATATATTCGGAAATTTTGAATAAAAATTTTATTTTTTTGCAGGTATGCTTAGACTACACCTATTTCATGATGATGGTAAAAATTTTATAGGTCATAATTCAAAATATTTTTCGAAAAATTTTATAAAAATTATTTAAAAATAGGAATTTTAAAAATACAACACAAAACATGGGTGAATTTTATTCGGAGTGAACCTAAATTTCGAAATGTGAAGGGAAAAATCAAAAATGTTTAATAAAAAGAGATATTAATAAATATATGCCAAATTCAATTACCATTGATGAGCTAAAATTTTGAGAGCTAATTTTTTAAAAACTATTCGTGCGATTTTTACAAAATTTGACAGTTTGGTAAATTTTTTAATTTCTCCATAAATTTCGCACCAAATTTTACAAAATTTAATATTTAGGCATAATTTGAGTCGTAGAATCGAAATATGTAAAAAAATGGTATGTTATTTCAGAAAAAGTCCTATTTTACCTCCAAATACCTATGTTAGAATAGCGCTATATATAAATCTAATATAGATCCTAAATCGCGCTTTCGAGACATCAAAAACGCAATTTGAATTTGTCAGTCGACCCTGTAAAACGGGAGATATAGAACTCTCTCTCTTTCTTTTTTTTTTTTTTTTTTTTTTTTTTTCCGCATTGTACAAAGATGAAAACAATATTTAATATTCTTGAGTCATATAATGACATCACATTTGAATCATTAACAAATCGATATTTAAAAATAAAAATAAGAAAACAAAACTTACGTTAATGACGTATGGAACCACCCTGCACCTTCACACAAACCTTCCAGCGATTTTTTATGCTTTCAGTATTATAATCAATTACGCAATGCTAGCAATAGCCATTTTTCCAATAGGGCAGAGTCCAACGGTCTGAAATTACTGGAATCGGCAAAACTTCAGAGGCAGCACACTCGAGAGCATCTCAAAATTTATAATGGGATTAGGATCAGAGGTATAAGGCTGCATACGAGAAATGCTTTTTGACTCTTAAGTTCTCTTTAACAATGTTAGCTTGATGGGGCAGACAATATCATGCATAAAGAGGAAATCCGGACCAACTGCTGCAGAATAGAGTCGCCCATTGGCGTGCAATATTTTATCCCGATAACTCGCATCCACCACAGAACCGTCTTTAAATATGTGTAGCTCGATGTGATATCGAATTGAAATTTTAGCACACGCTCTGTTGCTAAGTACAGTTCCAAATGAATGACAGCGCCTAGGTTGACTGGAATAATTACATACGGGAACTAATTTCATTGCCAGAGTCATCGGTAGAAATCGCCACCAATGAGCCCTGTGAAGACTGATTTTATAACCCCTGGGGCCGAGACTGCCAAGGTACAGATACTAACCAGTAGCTTCACAGGTTTTACCAGAATAGACCTCGGGAGTACAATTTAATGACAATAGAAATTCATAGATGAATTTTGCATTATATCCTTAAGAGTTTAATTTCTCGTTCCCATGAAACTGTATGATAAATTATCCTTCTTCTTTTAGTTCAACCATTATTTTGTGAGTTTTTCAAAATTAATTTTTATAACCCATTCATATATTTTTTTTATCATTTTAGTCTCAATTTGAAGTTGTTTTATCAAAAAGTCATTTATTTATTTAATTTTTACTTTTGAATTTTTTTTTTTTTTTTTTTTAAATTTTTGATTTGTATTAGGTCATTTCTTATTGCAGTTATTTACAGTTCATGCCAAACGGGAACGGTACATGTGGATTCCATAAAATAACTAAAATGTTCTAGATAAAAAGGGCAAGCGCATGGAAGTTTTTAACAAAGAAGGTTTATTTGAAATAAATGTGAAAATCAGATCTTTAATGTCTCATATTTAACTAAGAGTCTTTTGTAGTAAACTTGTATGTATTTTTACGAATTTTAGAAATAAAATTTGCATGAAGAGGTTTGTGTTCTAAATGTTTACGGACATATTTTCTGAAATACAAATGAAACAAGATTTAACACTTTAAAGCTTTATTTCCGTTAGTTTCAACAATTAGGTTGGAAAACTGTGTATTTGAAATTTTTAATGATTACATGCAAAAGATTAATATTCTTACTTACCTGTGTTTCCTTATCAGCTTCACACATCTGCCACATGCGCTCATTTATATCCTCCGACCTATATCTAACCGGAGGATCGAATTATATAATATATATTAAATATATTTGGTAATTTTAAAATTATTATAAGTTAAAGAAATGTCAAAATTGCTAAAATTTTTGGCGACCTAGTACTGCAGGTACCGCAACCTCAAATGGAGTCACGACCCACAGTTTAAGAAACTCTGGTCTACATCATCAGAAAATGTAAATGGAGTGAATTTTAAATAAAGAAAGAGATCTTTCATTTCTTTTTATGTCATTGTAATTATTTAGCGTCCTATGCCTGAGAGAAATAACGCTAAATATTCGGACGATATTTCGTCAGGCTGTCTAAAACGGGTTAACTTAGTTTTTAAAAAGTCAAAAGTTCAATCTCGTAACTCATCATAATGCTCAATAATAGCTGAACTTATCCAATGAGATTGGCTAAATTTAACATTCGATGAAACTCCATATTATCTTCTTAAATTCAAACCGAATTACGTTACGAAATTTAAAGACGAACGATAAGAACTTTCTACTTGTAATTCAAAGTGATGCTGATCTCCATCTGAACTTGTGAAGGGTGTCAGTGTCAAAAGCAGTGGATACTAAAAATCTTATTTACGAAATAGAAGAATTGTAAATAAGTAGTAATTGTATATAGTAGTAGTAATTACACCATTATGGAGAACCTACGGTAAGCAGCATTATTTTTGAGATATTTTGGAAATGGAGATTAAAGATTAACACACACTGAAATACACTAGCTCCTAAAGGTTAAGTATGCGACAGTAAAACCAATAAAAATGTTGAAGAAAAGCTTTGATTGATATCAGATTGCATACGAAAGTAGCAAAAGCGTTTACGCAAAAAAGAAAATTTAGTTTATGTACAATGCGAAAAAAAAAAAAAAAAAAAAGACAGTTCGATATCTCCCCTTCTACTGGGCCGATTGAGAAAATTCAAATTGCCTTCTTCATGTCTCGGAAAGCGCGACTTAGGATATATATTAGATTTAAATATAGCTCTATTCTAACATAGCTATTTTGACACGAAATCGGACGTTTTCTGAAATAACATACCTTTTTTTTTCCATATTTCGATTCTACGACTCTAATTATGCACAAATATGAAATTTTGTAAAATTTGGCGCGGAATTTATGGAGAAATTCAAAAATTTATGTGGGCGCTTTTTTTCAGTTTGCGCCAAGAATAGTTCACTTAGCGAACTTCTTAATACATGGCAACCTATTTTCCTTTCCCATGAGAGGAAAAAAATCGCAACGTTCTTTCATTCAAATAATGTTCTCTATATTATATTTTATGATATTATTTTAAATATTTTTTATTCTTTTTTGAATTTCATTTAAATTTTTTAAGTTGCATGGTTTTTCGAATAACTGTTTTAAAAATTTCTATTTACCCATTCGAACTGCGTAGTTTAAATATAAGGAGCATCGTTTATTTTTTTCAAACAATTTCTTTTTGTCACAGTTATTATTTTAGGTAATTTTAAACTTTTTAGACTTTTATTTTAAATTTTTGTGTTGCATTGTCTCTTCAAATTTACTATTTTTTCATTCGAACTGAGCGTATTAAATATATTTATTAATATAAATTTTCCAGGATTTTATTTTGGTTATTTGAATTGCGTTTCTTTCGGAAGAATACTTTGTGTCCCACACTGCGATGCATCTGGAAACTGAATATATTTAAAAGAATAAATACAGTAAAGCACAGTTAACACGCCTTTCAATGTTCCGTTCAGAAAAGCCATATAAATGAGAAAGATGTATAACCGACATTTTAACTTGTGATGATTTGCATATATTGCTTTAAATAGCTTTAACATTGTGCTCATTGCTTTACACAATTTTATCATCCTACATTTAGTTTCTTAAAATTTTATTCATATTTTAGTCAAATATTTTATTTTCGAAATCGGAAGAATCAAATATCATGAGATTAAAAAGTTTTAAATTAAAAAAAAAATACTAAATTTTATGCAAAAAATTATTTTTTTCTTATTAATGGCTTCCTCTTTTTCTTCAGCCCATTCTCTAAGTATATTAAAAAGCATCCAACTTTTCAAGGTCATCTAGGTATTTCTGAAATTCATTTAAATAAATTAAAGTTATCGCCTTCCATTTCATAAAGGCCCACAAAACGGCCTGAGCAGGTAAAGTCGCTGAACACTGATAGTTCGCTGCCGGGGTTCGAATCCTAGTGCAACATTGCTGGCTGCATGGGCGTTTTCGTTCACGTTTTTCTCATTGTAACGTGCATGCCAGCTGATTTTCCCTTAGAAAGTTCTTCACGAAGGCATCCCATCCTTTTAGGGCAGATAGCCCTGCTTTGCCGTAACTTTAATCAATCCAAATTCAATCCATTTCATTAGTATTTAGGTCAGAGCCTTTATCAGTCTTTAGATTCTAAGCATTTTAAGGCATGAGATGAAAAGGAAAGACTAGGTTTCATCAAGAGGGAAAATGTCTATTAGGTGACATCCACATACATCAACTGGATAAATTTCTTGAATATTTCAAATAATTTGACTAAGAAATCATGGGATTCTCTGTTTATGATGATATGATGTTCTATAACGTAATTTAAATTTATGCAAACATATAGTCGAAAACCAGTCACTCTTCACTTTAATCTGCAATGATATCGTTTTTGGCTTTTCCGTTAGCACAAGCTCAATTGATGGTATTTGCTGGTGTGCACATCCAAGTGTTTTCTCTTTGAACACCCAAATGCCTTGAAGTATTCTGAAAGTATATTCAAGAGCATCCAACTTTTCGAAACACCTTGGTATTTCTGACAGGCAAATTCCCCTTTAAATTTTTGCTTACTTTACTCGCTAATTTTCTTCTTTCCTTCTACATTTATTTTCAGTGCTCACCACAAGAAAATTAAGATTTTGTGTACACTTCCATAACTTTTGCAATCTTGTCATTTTTTTTAAATATCGATTACATAACTGCGTTTTCAGTTGAAGACAGCTTTTCATTTTCTAGGCATTTTAACTATAAATAAAGTTTAAAGCACAGACCAAAGGATAAATATTTTAATTAAAAGAATTTTTCTTAAATGACAAAGAAAGAAAAACAGTCCAGCAATGTTTGTGCTGTAGCGCTGAGTAACCCGATTATTATATCGGCTACAAACAATCTAAATCATATTAAAGATTATGTTTTTTATACAATCTATAACACGAGAGAAAATTAGCTATTTAAAACATTCTTTCGAAGAATATTAATGTAAAAATTTTACTTATATATATAAGGCTGGGACATGACTCAAACTATCAACGTCCTGTTTGCTTAAAACATTGTGAAAATAAACATCAAACGAACTTTCTCAGTTCTAGACAATTCAATTTAAATGCAATCAAAGTAAAGTAGCAGACGATAACACGGCGAAAACATTTACTCTTACAAATATCTTAAAATAGAAAAAAAAAAAAAAAAAAAAAAAAAGGAAGAAAGAAAGAAATTTAAAAAAAGTTAATTTGAATATTATCATCTATATTTTAAAAAAAAAAACTTTTCATATAGTATTAATAAATACTTATTACGCATCATTGAGGGTAAAGTTCCATATAATTATTTCTCCATAAAAATTTATTTGAAATTTAAGGTTAAAAATAGCTATGGCAATTCATTGTAACAAAAGTCCATGAACAATAAATTTGGCGTTATTATGGCTCAAAAAAAGATGCGAAATTTCGAAACGCGAAAATATGTAAATTCGTGTATATATTCGGAAATTTTGAATAAAAAATTTTATTTTTTTTGCAGGTATGCTTAGACTACACCTATTTCATGATGATGGTAAAAATTTTATAGGTCATAATTCAAAATATTTTTCGAAAAATTTATAAAAATTATTTAAAAATAGGAATTTTAAAAATACAACACAAAACATGGGTGAATTTTATTCGGAGTGAACCTAAATTTCGAAATGTGAAGGGAAAAATCAAAAATGTTTAATAAAAAGAGATATTAATAAATATATGTATGCCAAATTCAATTACCATTGATGAGCTAAAATTTTGAGAGCTAATTTTTTTAAAAAACTATTCGTGCGTGCGATTTTTACAAAAATTTGACAGTTTGGTAAATTTTTTAATTTCTCCATAAATTTCGCACCAAATTTTACAAAATTTAATATTTAGGCATAATTTGAGTCGTAGAATCGAAATATGTAAAAAAATGGTATGTTATATTCAGAAAAGTCCTATTTTACCTCCAAATACCTATGTTAGAATAGCGCTATATATAAATCTAATATAGATCCTAAATCGCGCTTTCGAGACATCAAAAACGCAATTTGAATTGTCAGTCGACCCTGTAAAAACGGGAGATATAGAACTCTCTCTCTTTCTTTTTTTTCTTTTTTTTTTTTTTTTTCCGCATTGTACAAAGATGAAAACAATATTTAATATTCTTGAGTCATATAATGACATCACATTTGAATCATTAACAAATCGATATTTAAAAATAAAAATAAGAAAACAAAACTTACGTTAATGACGTATGGAACCACCCTGCACCTTCACACAAACCTTCCAGCGATTTTTTATGCTTTCAGTATTATAATCAATTACGCAATGCTAGCAATAGCCATTTTTCCAATAGGGCAGAGTCCAACGGTCTGAAATTACTGGAATCGGCAAAACTTCAGAGGCAGCACACTCGAGAGCATCTCAAAATTTATAATGGGATTAGGATCAGAGGTATATAAGGCTGCATACGAGAAATGCTTTTTGACTCTTAAGTTCTCTTTAACAATGTTAGCTTGATGGGGCAGACAATATCATGCATAAGAGGGAAATCCGGACCAACTGCTGCAGAATAGAGAGTCGCCCATTGGCGTGCAATATTTTATCCCGATAACTCGCATCCACCACAGAACCGTCTTTAAATATGTGTAGCTCGATGTGATATCGAATTGAAATTTTAGCACACGCTCTGTTGCTAAGTACAGTTCCAAATGAATGACAGCGCCTAGGTTGACTGGAATAATTACATACGGGAACTAATTTCATTGCCAGAGTCATCGGTAGAAATCGCCACCAATGAGCCCTGTGAAGACTGATTTTATAACCCCTGGGGCCGAGACTGCCAAGGTACAGATACTAACCAGTAGCTTCACAGGTTTTACCAGAATAGACCTCGGGAGTACAATTTAATGACAATATAAATTCATAGATGAATTTTGCATTATATCCTTAAGAGTTTAATTTCTCGTTCCCATGAAACTGTATGATAAATTATCCTTCTTCTTTTAGTTCAACCATTATTTTGTGAGTTTTTCAAAAATTAATTTTTATAACCCATTCATATATTTTTTTATCATTTTAGTCTCAATTTGAAGTTGTTTTTATCAAAAAGTCATTTATTTATTTAATTTTTTACTTTTGAATTTTTTTTTTTTTTTTAAATTTTTGATTTGTATTAGGTCATTTCATTTCTTATTGCAGTTATTTACAGTTCATGCCAAACGGGAACGGTACATGTGGATTCCATAAAATAACTAAAATGTTCTAGATAAAAAGGGCAAGCGCATGGAAGTTTTTAACAAAGAAGGTTTATTTGAAATAAATGTGAAAATCAGATCTTTAATGTCTCATATTTAACTAAGAGTCTTTTGTAGTAAACTTGTATGTATTTTTACGAATTTTAGAAATAAAATTTGCATGAAGAGGTTTGTGTTCTAAATGTTTACGGACATATTTTCTGAAATACAAATGAAACAAGATTTAACACACTTTAAAGCTTTATTTCCGTTAGTTTCAACAATTAGGTTGGAAAAACTGTGTATTTGAAATTTTTTAATGATTACATGCAAAAGATTAATATTCTTACTTACCTGTGTTTCCTTATCAGCTTCACACATCTGCCACATGCGCTCATTTATATCCTCCGACCTATATCTAACCGGAGGATCGAATTATATAATATATATTAAATATATTTGGTAATTTTAAAATTATTATAAGTTAAAGAAATGTCAAAATTGCTAAAATTTTTGGCGACCTAGTACTGCAGGTACCGCAACCTCAAATGGAGTCACGACCCACAGTTTAAGAAACTCTGGTCTACATCATCAGAAAATGTAAATGGAGTGAATTTTAAATAAAGAAAGAGATCTTTCATTTCTTTTTATGTCATTGTAATTATTTAGCGTCCTATGCCTGAGAGAAATAACGCTAAATATTCGGACGATATTTCGTCAGGCTGTCTAAAACGGGTTAACTTAGTTTTTAAAAAGTCAAAAGTTCAATCTCGTAACTCATCATAATGCTCAATAATAGCTGAACTTATCCAATGAGATTGGCTAAATTTAACATTCGATGAAACTCCATATTATCTTCTTAAATTCAAACCGAATTACGTTACGAAATTTAAAGACGAACGATAAGAACTTTCTACTTGTAATTCTTGTAATTCACTTTCTACTTGTAATTCAAAGTGATGCTGATCTCCATCTGAACTTGTGAAGGGTGTCAGTGTCAAAAGCAGTGGATACTAAAAATCTTATTTACGAAATAGAAGAATTGTAAATAAGTAGTAATTGTATATAGTAGTAGTAATTACACCATTATGGAGAACCTACGGTAAGCAGCATTATTTTTGAGATATTTTGGAAATGGAGATTAAAGATTAACACACACTGAAATACACTAGCTCCTAAAGGTTAAGTATGCGACAGTAAAACCAATAAAAATGTTGAAGAAAAGCTTTGATTGATATCAGATTGCATACGAAAGTAGCAAAAGCGTTTACGCAAAAAAGAAAATTTAGTTTATGTACAATGCGAAAAAAAAAAAGACAGTTCGATATCTCCCCTTCTACTGGGCCGATTGAGAAAATTCAAATTGCCTTCTTCATGTCTCGGAAGCGCGACTTAGGATATATATTAGATTTAAATATAGCTCTATTCTAACATAGCTATTTTGACACGAAATCGGACGTTTTCTGAAATAACATACCTTTTTTTTTCCATATTTCGATTCTACGACTCTAATTATGCACAAATATGAAATTTTGTAAAATTTGGCGCGGAATTTATGGAGAAATTCAAAAATTTTATGTGGGCGCTTTTTTTTCAGTTTGCGCCAAGAATAGTTCACTTAGCGAACTTCTTAATACATGGCAACCTATTTTCCTTTCCCATGAGAGGAAAAAAATCGCAACGTTCTTTCATTCAAATAATGTTCTCTATATTATATTTTATGTTATTATTTTAAATATTTTTTATTCTTTTTTGAATTTCATTTAAATTTAAAATAAAAAAATAAATTAAAAAAATTCATTTAAATTAAAAATCATTAAATTTAAATTTCAATCCGAAATTTAGGGCGCTTGCCAATGATGAATGCAGACCACTAAAAATGACAAACCAGAGGATAGTTCTAATGATTTTCCTGCTACTGCTGCGGTTCCCCCATCAGCAAACAGCATGAAAAATGATTTTCCTCCCCGTCCTAATAGTAAAGCTAATGTCAGAAGAGCGGAGAGCCCAGGAAAGTCTGAAGAAGATTTTACGAAATATAAAGCACTAGATGCCAGTTCGGACTCTGACGACTGCGCTACCAGAGGAGATACAACCCGGAGACCCCGAAAGCTACCAATCAGAAAGCCGGCACCACTCCAAGCAGCCGCGACGAACCCTAATTCCTCCATAGATGATCCCAACACTGCTGAACCAGAATCCATGGAAACAGCACCCATTGATGATGGAAAAAATAGATGAAATTCCACCGGAATCGGTAAATCCTAACAAGAATGGCGGACGGCTTCCGCCCTTCATTGTAAGAGATACCAACTTCAACTGGAATAAAGCTAGAACGCTCTTAAAGAAGCATGGACTGTACTCTGAAAGTGACTACTTCGGTCAGCAAATCCAGGACGGATTCAAGATATTGGTAAAAATACCAACTATTTTTAAACAAGTCCAGAAAATTCTGAAAGATGAAAAGGTGAGTTTCCACTGTTTTGAGCTACCTGCATCTAAAAATTTAAAATTAGTAGTCCGACATTTACCGGCTTACATGGACATTAATGAAATTGCTGAAGAATTAGTCGCCAAAAATTATGACGTCATCCGTGTCAACCAATTGAAAAGACGAAGAAATGGTGATGTAATCAACCTCCCCCTCTTTCTCATTACTCTTAAGAGAAATGACAAAAATAAGAGAATCCATCAAGAATCTTTCCTTACGGGAACGAAAATCAAAGTTGAGGATTACAAGGGTAGAGCGGGACCCTTGCAGTGTTATCGCTGCCAAGAGTTTCACCACTCGCAAGCGAACTGCAATCACGAACCGCGTTGTGTTCGTTGCGCTGAGGCGCACGAAACTTTCAATTGTTCAAAGGATAAATCTGAACTTCCGAAATGTGCCGACTGTTTGCAAGTTGGACACACAGCCAACTATAGAGGATGTGAGAAATTTCCACAGCAGAAAGTGACTCCCAAAGCTAAAACGTTCAATGAACGTATAGTGACGAATAAATCATATGCTCAGGCATTAACTACGGGACTCGCTCCGGAAGCTATGAAAATGATGACAGAGGGCAAGCAAATGTTCCAACAACTAAGTATGTTGGTCACCTTCATTAAGGAATCTGGAATTCCTTTTCTGTACAAGAAATTCATTGATGAAAACTCGGTTAAAATGCGGTTTAGCCCACTGCTTGGCGATTGTTTTTCAATGGGCAATAAACGCGCCAACATGGCTAACCCGATGTTTTGAAGCTGTGTTGTTATTCTGTTGCCACTAAATGTTATCGCCCTGTGTTATATTTAAAGAAATTAAATATTGAAAAATCTGCATAAATGTTTCTCGCATTGTGATAAAACAACGGTACCTAGAGCCATCAAATTTTAAATAACATACGTTTCCAACCTAATATGGGCATCTGGAAGCCCAAACTTGGAATTTTTTTTATTATCTGATTGATATTTTGTAAAACTTGAACGAAATTTTTATTAGCAAACTCAAAGATTTCAAAGCGAGCAACTGCAACACAGTACGGGAAAAAAAAAAAAAAAATTACGTGCAGAGCGCAAAACTGTGTATCAGAAATTCTAAAGATATGCTTATTTTAAAATTATTTTGCGATATTGCTGTTCAACTGAATTTTATGGTTTAACTGTAAAGAACATTATATGATAAAGAAATGTAACACACAAAACGTTAAAAAAAACGCCAGTAATGTAAAATCTAAAAGCTTTCATTATTTTTATTTTATTTATTTATTTTCTGTTTTTACTCGTTAATTCTGTTGCGGTTTGAATGTTCTTATGTGGTTTCTTTTTTTAATCGAGTGTTTTCCCCCCCCCCTGTGGGTTTTAGCTAGCCTTTTTTCTGCATATATTACAGAAACGGCGTATAAAAACGTTTGTAAATTTATTTAAAGATGAGGGGGGATCCAAAAGGGTTTTCCCCCTGAAATAAATTCAATATACATATATAAAACCCCTCAAAAAGACTTTACATTTTTCTTGAAAAGGGTAAGTGAAAAAATTTTTCTTGTATGGTTCGTTTTAAAGTTGCTTATTTTAATATTTCGTATTTCTTTTTGGCTCAATCCTAGAACATTGAAAAAGCTAACGTTGTGCAAATTTCTGATGTTTTTTTAATGAAAATAGATCGATATGTACATGAGCAGAGCCAATACAGTGCGCAATGCCGACGTTGTGCGCGATGCCGAGTTTGTGCAATTCTGGGATTTTTATTAAGTGAAAATAGATCGATGTGCACATGGGCAAAGCCAATGTGGTACGCAATGCCGAGGTTGTGCGCGATGCCGAGTTTGTGCAATTCTGGGATGTTTTTTTAAGTGAAAATAGATCGATGTGCACATGAGGCAAAGCCAATGGGGTGCGCAATGCCGAGGTTGTGCCCGATGCGATGCGCGATGCTGCCCGATGCGCAATGCTGAGGTTGTGCAATTTTGGGATATTTTTTTAAGTGAAAATAGATCGATGTGCACATGGGCAAAGCTAATGTGGTGCGCGATGCCGAGGTTGTGCAATTCTGGGATTTTTTTAAGTGAAAATAGATCGATGTGCACATGTGCAAAGCCAATGTGGTGCGCGATGCCGAGTTTGTGCAATTCTGGGATGTCTTTTTAAGTGAAAATAAATCGGTGTGAACATGGGCAAAGCCAATGTGGTGCGCAATGCCGAGGTTGTGCGCGATGCCGAGTTTGTGCAATTCTGGGATGTATTTTTAAGTGAAAATAGATCGATGTGTACATGGGAAAAGCCAATGTAGCCAATGTTTCAAATTGTGGCCAACAAATATTATCGTCCTGTGTTATATTTAAAGGAATTAAACGATTAAAAATCTTCATAAATGTATTTATGTTTCCCTCATTTTGATAAAACAACGGTACCTAGAAACATCAAATTTAGAATAACGTCATCCTCCTGCGAATATGGGCATCTGGAAGCCCAAATTTGAAATTTGGAATTTTTTTTTATTATCGTTTTCATATTTTGTAAAACTTTAACGAATTTTTAATTAACATACTGAGAAATTTCAAAGCTAGCAATGACAATGCTCTACAGATAAAAACATTTTTATCTCCAGCGCGCGAGACTGTGTATCGGAAAATCTAAAGATATGCTTATTTTTAAATTATTTTGTGATAATGCTGTTGAACTGGATTTTACGGTTTAAGTGCGAAGAACATGATATTTAATTAATAAAGGTAACACGCAAAGTGTTAAAAAAATGCACCTTTGTGGCGTAATGCAAAATCTTAAATTTCAGATTTTATTTTGTTTTTTGAATTTCATTATATTTGTTGTCTTTTTTTTAAATTTCCTATCGTTGACAACAATGACAATTTCCTATCGCACAACGTTGACAATATTACCTATCGTAGCTTTAGATATCGAAAAGCCATGGCTTTCACAGCG